CAGGTGCTGACCCAGTATCCCAAAACATAAAGAGTCTGCAGCCTGGCTTGGATCTAGAAATGGAGTTGATTGTACATTCCCCAAGTTCGGAATATGCAGTTTATCTGCATTACATATCATTTTATACTTTGATTTGTCTTATTTGATTTATTTATTTCAGACAGGTTTTTAAAAACAAAAAATAAGCAATCAGTAGGACAGAGAAAAGAATTGGGAAAAAAGTTTTTACTTTGACATTGAAGGTTCATTTCGTATATTTGTTTTTTAGAAAGCCAAGTTTTTATGCTGATGATTTATTTGTAAAAGCAATAAGAGAGGATCAGCACTTCCTGTCTCAACAACAAGTTAAGCAGAGCAGTGAGTGTGGGAGCCGCATGTCCACAGACACCCAGGTTGGTTCTGAGAACCGAAACAAGAACGAGTCGGGCCTAAAGGGAGGTGCTCTTTTCTTGTTATTGTGGCTGCTGGTTTACTGACCTTGCCAAAAAGAAACCAAGCATTCCACCACGGATTATTGGATTCGATGACTTGGGTCTTGCGTTGTATGGAACCATAGTAGATCTTGGCATAGCTGTGAACAAAAGAGGAGCCATATAAAAGGTGTGCTCATCAGGTTCCATAAGGTCTTTGTTTTTTTTTTTACCTTTGCTTCAACCCACCCATCAGTTTTTCCAATGACATCTCCATATAGATTCCAGCCTTGAACAATGCTCACTGCTAGAGTTCCCCTTGAGGCGTGCAGAGGGCAACAGTTAGAGGACAAATCAGGAGTAGATCCCTCACAGTGTGGCTCTTCGGGTGATTTCTTCAAAGCATTGTCCTTCAAATACTGCTCAATAGCAGCTTTCACTGCTGCCTTTAGGAGCTCATTCGGCATGAGATGATAGAGAGATCGAAGGGAGTACGAAACAACATCTGGATGTTCTTTCAGGCTCTTTAGCCAGTTCATGTAGCCCATGGAATCATTTTGGAAAATTGAAAACTCCCCCAACCAACCATTTCCTCCTGACACCTCTGTGAAGTGCTGGTGGAGACCAGAGCTGAAGTTAGTGGCAACATCCTGGTTTTTTAGGACACTAATGCAAGAATTCGGGACACTAGAGAGTTTCGTCTTCCCCAAGCCAACAGCAACACCCATAGATAAACAGGTGTGGGTCTGGGTGAAAGAACAGAAAAAAGATTTTTCAAAAAGCTGCTTTACACCAGATATTAGCATAAAGACCCAGACACAAGCAGAGAAGAATATGTTCATGTAGAAATTCTTGGAAATTAAAATGGACAAAAACAAAAAACAAAAAAAAAATCACATCTAGAAATACTTAAAGTAGGTTATTGGAAGTGATGAACTTCGTATTTATGAAGCTTCATGTATTTAGTAATAACAGTGGTAATGAAAGTAGTTTTAAATTCTTGCTGGTACTATGACGAAAATCATCTGTGCCTCATTGTGCAAATCAAAACAAATAAAAACATTAATGTTTTACTGTACTGTTGCATACCTGTATGGATAACACAGAAACTAGAAACACTTCACAATGGGAAAAATATATATATTCTGCAGTAATTAGTTACATTTACATCTATTGATGTATTTACAATTTGTCTAAATTGTCCTTTAAATTGTTTACAAAACCTGAACTTTACTTTTACTTGAATTTGTTTTGATTAAATTTACTCACTTACATTTGAAGTCATATCCATTAATGAGTAAAAATGTTGGAAAATAATGTCCCAATAAAAATACACATATTTTGTGTTGTTTTTTCATTTATAAATGTGCTCATTTACATTACAGCGTGACAAAAACACGTTTTCATTTTGTTTGTGATGAGCTGGACTTTTTTTCTCATAAAGTAACTAAGTTAACATTTTAATGAGGTACTAAGTGCAAATGTGTATCAATAACAACAACTGTAGTTTTACTTGAGTAGCCTCGAATATTAATGTCAATGTCAAAATTATTTATAGCACTTTACAACAGGTATAAAACTGCACCAAATGCTGTACAAAAACAACACAAATGACAAAACAGAACACAAAACTATACGTCAATTAAATGCCAAAGAGTAAAAATGAGTTTTAAGAAGCGATTTAAAATGATTCAGGCTGTGGGCAGATCTAATCTGGAAAGGTAAGTTATTCCATAAAACAGGAGCAGCAACAGAAAAAGCTCGATCTCCTTTCCTCTTAAGTCGAGTTCGAGGAACTGTAAGTAATAACTGATTATTTGATCGTAAAGTTCTGGACACAGACTGGAAATTTAAAAGGTCCCAAAGATAAGGGGGGGCTAACCCATTTAAAACTTTAAAAGTTAACAAAAGAATCTTAAAATCTATTCGATAAAAGACAGGCAGCCAGTGTAAAGATGCCAGAGTTGGCCTTATATGGTCATGCTTCCTGGATCCTGTGAGAAGCCGTGCTGCTGTTTGTAATTAATACATCATTACGTATAAAAACTGTTAAACAATTTTATATTGTAGCATGTGCAGTAACTTTTCATCTTCGGCATCACTGTTTTATTTTTTTTTAACAAATTAGTTATTGTTTTCTGCACTTTTATCAGGTCTTGATTTCGCTTGAATTAAATATTCAGTGACTGCTGTTTTCCCGGTTTTTATCCATCCATCCATTTTCTTCAGCTTATCCGGGGTCGGGTCGCGGGGGTAGCAGCTTAAGAAGGGAGCCCCAGACTTCCCTCTCCCCAGCCACTTCTTCCAGCTCCTCCGGGGTAATCCCAAGGCGTTCCCAGGCCAGCTGAGAGACGTAGTCCCTCCAGCATGTCCTGGGTCTTCCCCGTGCTCAGAACACCTCACCAGGGAGGCATCCAGGAGGGAGCCTTACCAGATGCCCGAGCCTCAACTGGCTCCACTTGACGTGGAGGAATAGCATCTCTACTCTGAGTCCCTCCTGGATGACCAAGCTTCTAACCCTACCTCTAAGGGATAGTCCAGACACCCTGGAGATAAAACCCATTTCGGCCGCTTGTATCCGTGATCTTGTTCTTTCGGTCATGACCCAAAGCTCATGACCATAGATGAGGGTGGGAACGTAGATCGACCGGTAAATCGAGAGCTTTGCTGTTTGACTCAGCTCTTTCTTCACCACGACGGACCGGTACAGCGCCCGCTTCACGGCAGACGCTGCGCCAATCCATCTGTCGATCTCCCGCTCCCTTCTTCCCTCATTCGTGAACAAGATCCCCAGATACTTAAACTCCCCCACTTGAGGCAGGACCACCCCCCTGACCTGGAGAAGGCACTCTACCCTTTTCCGGCTCAAGACCATGGCCTCGGATTTGGAGGCACTGAGCCTCATCCCGGCCGCTTCACACTCGGCTGCAAACCGCTCCAGCGAGAGCTGCAAATCACAATCTGATGAAGCCAAAAGGACCACATCATCCGCAAAAATCAGAGATGCGATCCTAAGGCCACTAAAACGGATCCCCTCAACACCTCGGACAAATTCTGTCCATGAAAGTAATGTAATGAACAGAATTGGTGACAAAGGGCAGCCTTGGCGGAGTCCAACTCTCACCGGAAATGAGCCCGACTTACTGCCGGCAACGCAGACCAGACTATGACACCAGTCATACAGGGACCTGACAGCCCGTATCAAAGGGCCAAGGTACCCCGTACTCTCGGAGAACCCCCGGCAGGGCTCCCTGAGGGACATGGTCGAACGCCTTCTCCAAGTCCACAAAACACATGTAGACCGGTTGGGTGAACTCCCAGAACCCTCCAGGACCCTGCTGAGGGTGTAGAGCTGGTCCAGTCTTCCATGACCAGGACGAAAACCACACAGCTCTTCCTGAATCCGAGGTTCGACTATCCGACAACCCCTCCACTCCAGGATCCCTGAATAGACCTTACCAGGGAGGCTTAACCCTACAACACAACCCTACAACATCCAGAGCCTTAAGGAACTCCGGGCGGATCTCCTCCATCCCCAGGGCCCTGCCACCGAGGATCTTCTCAACCACCTCGGTGACCTCGTTCCCAGAGAATGGGGAGCCTGACTCAGAGTTCCCAAGCTCAGCTTCCTCAATGGAAGGCATGTTGGTGGGATTGAGGAGGTCTTCCAAGTACTCTGCCCACTGGCCCACAGCGTCCCGAGTTGAGATCAGCAGCACACAATCCCCACTATAAACAGTGTTGGTGCTGTACTGCTTCCCCCTCCTGAGACGCCGGATGGTGGACCAGAATCGCCTCGAAGCCGTGTGGAAGTCTTTCTCCATGGCCTCTCCAAACTCCTCCCACGCCCGAGTTTTTGCCTCAGCAACCACCCAAGCCTACATGCTGCTTCGCCTGCCGGTACGCATCAGCTGCTTCTGGAGTCCCACAGTGTCAAAAAGGCCTGATAGGACTCCTTCTTTAGCCTGACAGCATCCCTCACCGAAGGTGTCCACCAACGGGTGGCCTCACCCGTCTCCAGGAGGGGCACTCCTGGAGACCCCCTCTAAGGACTCCAAGAGTCCCAGTTTTTATTTTTATTTTATTTTAAAATGATAAGCGATTTATTGTTTGCCCTGTCCCAGTGAAAGCGACATTTTTGATGTCTCTGTGGACCGCCTGTGTAAATGTCCCAGTCCAATAATCAAATGCACCAATAAGATCAGCAAGCGCCTTGATTTATAACACGCGTACTATGCACAATCGTTTAATACGAGTGAAATTTCCGGGTCATAAATTACTAAGCAGCTGTTTCAGATCTGTGCCTTGCTGTTTTAATTGAACAAAATAACACAAAACACAACTATATAATCACCGTTTGCTTTTAATTGGGACATTTTGTAATTAGCAGATAGACATTATAGCGGAGAAAGGTCTGAAGGCTGCTGAGAAACCTAAGAGCGCCGGGAGGGGAGAGAGAGAGAGATGGCTGGAGGGGAACAGGCTCCATTACACAGCATGAACAGTTCAGAAACAATAAGAAATGAGAGAAAAAAGCAATCTATAAACAGATGAACTCACGTTTCAAACTGCCTGTTGATAGCTATTTGGACTCAAAATTTACCAGTACGTAGTACCAAACCGTACCGGCTTACTTTCAACCCTTGGCGTTATCACACGTTTTGTTTTGTGCATTTTGTTACCTCATTTGAGTTTAACCCATTCATGGAGGACAAACAGCTTCGTGAAGATATCAGTCGTCTCAGTCGCCCTCCAAGATTAACCTAAAACAGGTATAAAGTTCTTTAAAATGATTTTCTGCAGAAAAATGCCTGTAACTAATTCACAATGTGTGTGTGTGAAAGTTCTCACCATTGTGAAGTAGTGTGTGCCATAGATGTCTATCAGCTTTCTATACTCATTCTTAGTGGAGGAGTTGTAGTGAGGTGGAAGGATGTCTAACCGTTTTTTGAATTTTAAGGTTAAGGAAGGTGTGTTTGATAACATAAAACTAGACACCAAGACAAAATGAGACAATTATTTCAATAACCATGACCTGTCTGAACGCAATAAAAAAAAGTCGAATTTCCATCCTACCCATAATGGCCACACGTGACACTGTGTGTGCTGAAAATGTATCGATCCTCTTTGGTCCTTTGTGAAGCGAACTTGTAGGCTTTGGAGCGGGTTCCTCCCACATCTAACTTGCCAGACTCTGGACCTTTTGGAAAATCCAAGCCAACCTGATGAAATACAGACAACACATGTAGTTTATAGGGTGTTAAATAAGAAGCCATATTTTTGTTATCACTATTCTAATCACTTACTTCAGTTCTAACTAAATGCAAACTAAAATGATAATAAAATTCTTGGAAGAGCACATATGAACTGAAATGAAATGTTGAAAGAAAGAAAATCAACCAGCATGGTTTTTATCACGTTTGTGTTATTAAAACTCAGGTCTGCATTGAAAATAATCTGAAATGTTCAGCTTTGAGATGTTTCTTACCGACCAATCATTGGTATCTAGGGGTGCGCAAGCCTCATACCGAGAGCTGTTGGGACAGGAGGAAGTAATTATTATTAAACATCTACACAGTTCATTTTTCATTAGGTAATAAAGCGTTCTAGCTCATTGAAATTGTTGATTTAACTATTGTTATTTTAATACCTAAACCTTATTGGGCAGGTATTTATAAACTACGGCTTCCATATGTGGCTCGGTTTTCAATTTAAAAGTTCTTTTTAAAATAACAACCTCTGAGTATTTATAAACACACTTTTCATTAAACCTGTACTTCTGTATTATGAAACATTTTTATTGGTTTGCTGTGTTATTCCAATTTTCAATGTTAGGTTTGCATTACTTGTAAGTTCAAAATCCTCATAATTAACAGAAATAAATGCTTTAAAAATGAATATGTGTGTAATTATTCTATATAATGTTTCATTTAGTGATAAAACTGCTGAAACAAATGGACTTTCCAATAATATTCTAATTTANTTGATTAAATTTACTCACTTACATTTGAAGTCATATCCATTAATGAGTAAAAATGTTGGAAAATAATGTCCCAATAAAAATACACATAATTTGTGTTGTTTTTTCATTTATAAATGTGCTCATTTACATTACAGCGTGACAAAAACACGTTTTCATTTTGTTTGTGATGAGCTGGACTTTTTGTCTCATAAAGTAACTAAGTTAACATTTTAATGAGGTACTAAGTGCAAATGTGTATCATTAACAACAACTGTAGTTTTACTTGAGTAGCCTAGAATATTAATACATTATTACGTATAAAAACTGTTAAACACTTTTATATTGTAGCATGTGCAGTAACTTCATCTTCAGTCATACTGTTTTATTTTTTTGACAAATTAGTTATTGTTTTCTGCACTTTTATCAGGTCTTGATTTCGCTTGAATTAAATATTCAGTGACTGCTGTTTTCCCGGTTTTTATCCATCCATCCATTTTCTTCAGCTTATCCGGGGTCGGGTCGCGGGGGTAGCAGCTTAAGAAGGGAGCCCCAGACTTCCCTCTCCCCAGCCACTTCTTCCAGCTCCTCCGGGGTAATCCCAAGGCGTTCCCAGGGGGTAAACATACGGTCGCTCATACGGATAGAGCGAGCGTTTGTTTTCTACGCTCATTCACCCTTACGTACCTTCCTTTGGGGGTGTGAGGGAAGGGGCGCCGATTTATGTTTTCGCATCCACCTGAATAATATGTAGTTGCGCCCCTGCTTCTAACCCTACCTCTAAGGGAGAGTCCAGACACCCTGGAGAGAAAACCCATTTCGGCGTCTTGTATCCGTGAGATCTCGTTCTTTTGGTCATGACTGAAAGCTGACCATAGATGAGGGTGGGAAGGTAGATCGACCGGTACATCGAGAGCTTCGCTTTTTGACTCAGCTCTCTCTTCACCACGACGGACCGGTACAGCGCCCGCTTCACGGCAGACGCTGCGCCAATCCATCTGTCGATCTCCCGCTCCCTTCTTCCCTCATTCGTGAACAAGATCCCCAGATACTTAAACTCCTCCACTTGAGGCAGGACGAACCCCCTTACCCGGAGAAGGCACTCTACCCTTTTCCGGCTCAAGACCATGGCCTCGGATTTGGAGGCACTGATCCCCATCCCAGCCGCTTCACACTCGGCCGCGAACCGCTCCAGTGAGAGCTGCAGATCATGTTCCGATGAAGCCAAAAGGACCACATCATCCGCGAAAAAGAAGAGATGCGATCCTAAGGCCACCAAAACGGATCCCTTCAACACCTCGGCTGCGCCTAGAAATTCTGTCCATGAAAGTAATGAACAGAATCGGTGACAAAGGGCAGCCTTGGCGGAGTCCCACTCTCACCGGAAACGAGCCCGACTTACTGCTGGCAATGCGGACCAGACTCTGACACCAGTCATACAGGGACCTGACAGCCCGTATCAAAGGGCCCGGTACCCCATACTCCCAGAAAACCCCCCACAAGGCCCCCCTGGGGACACGGTCGAACGCCTTCTCCAAGTCCACAAAACACATGTAGACCGGTTGGGTGAACTCTCAGAACCCTCCAGGACCCTGCTGAGGGTGTAGAGCTGGTCCAGTCTTCCATGACCAGGACGAAAACCACACAGCTCTTCCTGAATCCGAGGTTCGACTATCCGACAAACCCTCCACTCCAGGATCCCTGAATAGACCTTACCAGGGAGGCTTAAGAGTGTGACCCCCCTATAATTGGAGCACACCCTCTGGTCCCCCTTTTTGAACAGGGGGACCACCACCCCAGTCTGCCAATCCAGGGGAACTGCCCCTGATGTCCATGCGATATTGCAGAGTCGCGTGAGCCAACACAACCCTACAACATCCAGAGCCTTAAGGAACTCCGGGCGGATCTCATCCACCCCCGGGGCCCTGCCACCGAGGAGCTTTTTGACCACCTCGGCGACCTCGTCCCCAGAGATTGGAGAGCCCAACCCAGAGTCCCCAGGCTCAGCTTCCTCAGCAGAAGGCATGTTGGTGGGATTGAGGAGGTCTTCGAAGTATTCCGCCCACCTGCCCACAACGTCCCCAGTTGGGGTCAGCAGCACACCATCCCCACTATAAACAGTGTTGGTGCTGCACTACTTCCCCCTCCTGAGACGCCGGATGGTGGACCAGAATCGCCTCGAAGCCGTGTGGAAGTCTTTCTCCATGGCCTCTCCAAACTCCTCCCACGCCCGAGTTTTTGCCTCAGCAACCACCCAAGCCTACATGCTGCTTCGCCTGCCGGTACGCATCAGCTGCTTCTGGAGTCCCACAGTGTCAAAAAGGCCTGATAGGACTCCTTCTTTAGCCTGACAGCATCCCTCACCGAAGGTGTCCACCAACGGGTGGCCTCACCCGTCTCCAGGAGGGGCACTCCTGGAGACCCCCTCTAAGGACTCCAAGAGTCCCAGTTTTTATTTTTATTTTATTTTAAAATGATAAGCGATTTATTGTTTGCCCTGTCCCAGTGAAAGCGACATTTTTGATGTCTCTGTGGACCGCCTGTGTAAATGTCCCAGTCCAATAATCAAATGCACCAATAAGATCAGCAAGCGCCTTGATTTATAACACGCGTACTATGCACAATCGTTTAATACGAGTGAAATTTCCGGGTCATAAATTACTAAGCAGCTGTTTCAGATCTGTGCCTTGCTGTTTTAATTAAGCAAAATAACACAACACACAACAATATAATCACCGTTTGCTTTTAATTGGGACATTTTGTAATTAGCAGACAGACATTATAGCGGAGAAAGGTCTGAAGGCTGCTGAGAAACCTAAGAGCGCCGGGAGGGGAGAGAGAGAGAGATGGCTGGAGGGGAACAGGCTCCATTACACAGCATGAACAGTTCAGAAACAATAAGAAATGAGAGAAAAAAGCAATCTATAAACAGATGAACTCACGTTTCAAACTGCCTGTTGATAGCTATTTGGACTCAAAATTTACCAGTACGTAGTACCAAACCGTACCGGCTTACTTTCAACCCTTGGCGTTATCACATGTTTTGTTTTGTGCATTTTGTTACCTCACTTGAGGTTAACCCATTCATGGAGGACAAACAGCTTCGTAAAGATATCAGTCGTCTCAGTCGCCCTCCAAGATTAACCTAAAACAGGTATAAAGTTCTTTAAAATGATTTTCTGCAGAAAAATGTCTAACTAATTCACAATGTGTGTGTGTGAAAGTTCTCACCATTGTGAAGTAGTGTGTGCCATAGATGTCTATCAGCTTTCTATACTCATTCTTAGTGGAGGAGTTGTAGTGAGGTGGAAGGATGTCTAACTGCTTTTTGAATTTAAAGCTTAAGGAAGGTGTGTTTGATAATATGAAACTAGACACCAAAACAAAATTAGACAATTATGTCAATAACCATGTCTGAACCCAATAAAAAATCTCCATCCTACCCATAATGGCTGCAGGCGACACTGTGTGTGCTGAAAATGTATCGATCCTCTTTGGTCCTTTGTGAAGCGAACTTGTAGGCTTTGGAGCGGGTTCCTCCCACATCTAACTTGCCAGACTCTGGACCTTTTGGAAAATCCAAGCCAACCTGATGAAATACAGACAACACATGTAGTTTATAGGGTGTTAAATAAGAAGCCATATTTTTGTTATCACTATGCCACTCACTTACTTCAGTTCTAACTGAATTTGAAAATATTCTGAAATGTTCAGTTTCTTACCGACCAATCATTGGTATCTTGGGATGTGTAAGACTCAACCAGAGAGCTGTTGGCACATTTTAAAGGAAGTAATTATTATTAAACATCTACACAGTTCATTTTTCATTAGGTAATAAAGCGTTCTAGCTTAGTGAAATTGTGGATTTAACTATTGTTATTTTAATACCTAAGCCTTATTGTGCAGGTATTCATAAACTACAGTTATATTCAATAAATTAGAAAATGCTTCCATATTTGGCTCGGTTTTCAGATTAAAAGTACTTTTAAAATAACAACCTCTGAGCTGGTGTTAAACACACTTTTCATTAAACCTGTACTTCTGTATTATGAAATATTTTTATTGGTTTGCTGTGTTATTCCAATTTTCAATGTTAGGTTTGCATTACTTGTAAGTTGTAAGTTCAAAATCCTCATAATTAACAGAAATAAATGCTTTAAAAATGAATATGTGTGTAATTATTCTATATAATGTTTCATTTAGTGATAAAACTGCTGAAACAAATGAACTTTTCAATAATATTCTAATTTAGTGAATGGGTATTTATTTGCCTATTGTTTCCCTTGGTAATTTTAATCAAAATTTCTATTTTGTTCATAATTTTCCTAATTACTTATTTATAGTTATTCACAGTCAAAGTGATTCTCATTGTTGCAGGATGGTCCTTGATCGCATGTCCCTTTCTGTGTGTGAATATATATATATATATGTGTGTGTGTTTTAGGACTTCTCACCTTGTAAGTCCCCATAAGAAGTGCTGTCTTTGACTAAGTTTAAGACTAAGGAGTGACTTCAACTTAGGTTGGGTTTAGGGTCAGAGTCAGGTTTTTATATGCACAGACTAAAGATGTTAAGTTGTCCTGCTGCAACAGACAAAGTGAAATGGACATGATGTGTGAACTATGCAACGAACCCCTCTCTCCAAACACAGAAATGGAGCAGTGGTTCTTAAGATCCAAGGTATTTAAAATTTGCCACAGTTTCAACAGGTTGGCTATCAAGAGAAACTGGAGCCACTTTAAGATCTTGTTTAGATCATTTAATTAGCTCTACATTCTTAAGAGAATGAAAAATTAATGATAAATAATAAAGACTTTGCCGTATTCTGATTTAGTAATGTAATTATATTAGTTGTCTTACCATTAACCTTGAACTGTGAGTTTCAACTTAATACTGGAATTTAAACCAAATGATCATTTCACAATATGCAAGAAAAAAACGGTCTTCACCTAATTAAAGAACACATATTTCTGTATTATTTCACTCACCTTATCAAATTAAAGTAACCACGTATTTTTACACTAGAATAATTAAAACTCTTCTTTCAACTTGATTAGAACAAAAGTTATGATTTGCTAATGAGTTTAATAAAGATCACAATAAATTCTGCTCAAAAACTTTTAGCAGAGAATAACTTTTTTAAATGAACATTTGGCAAAATAATACATCAGAGTCAGATCAATGTAACACACGTCCATCTCAGGATACAAAAATATGCCTCTAAGCATTCTGGGAAATAGTTCCCATTCCTGTGTTTTATTTTCTTCTAGTGTTTTTAGTGCTAATATATAAACTGTAGTTTATTCAACTCTTTAGGTTTGACAAAATTAATAAAATGCTAACAGACTTACTGCTGTAAGTTTATCTTTCACAAACACACATTTAGGTTAAAAATCTATAACTAAATTTATATAGTTTTAGATTTTTTTAAAAATTAAGAACTAGACCAGTTTTGAATGTAGAAGTTAGTAGACGCAACTAAATGTTGCCCAAATGTTTTACAGTATATTAGGCTGACCCGCTCTGCAGAACAGGGTCAGTGCTCTACAGGCAAAGAGAAGTAAATACACAACCTCAGACTCCCTCCATAGCTTTGATATCTTTAAGCTGACAGACGAGACGTGCTCCATGATTTGTCTCAAGTTTGGGATTTTGTCTTACAACTTAACTCTGCTTCAAACTTTACCAATTTTTTTTTGCTTTGGTCATCATGGTGATGTATGTAACCTTAACTGTGAACTTAACTGAGAATAAAGGTGAATTTTTTTATTTTTTTTTTAAATTATACATTATTTTAGGTGACCTTTGAAGTCAACTGGTTGTACTTGAATATATTAATAAGTATCAGAATATCAGTATAAATGCACACCACATTTTTCATATTTAGCTTCTACTTCAGAATTATCCACTGCGTTGGTCAATCAGCTGTGTAAACATACACAGCTGATTGGAACATGTAATTGTAACATGTAAAAAAAAAAAATCAGTAATTCTTAGTTTAATTATTACCTGAGAGAGGTGTGAAGTCTGCTGTGGATGTCAGGCCTGCATTGACTGACGTAACTCCAGTCCACAACAGAAGATGGAAGCTTAAAAGAAAAAAAATCACGTTATTGTTAATCCCTCAAGTCAGATGTGCAGCTGTTGATTTATGCATTTTTAATTACTTTTTGGAGTATATGGTTTTGAAGAGGGTTGCTGCAGAGTTTACAGGTTTTGCTGGTGCTCAGGTAAGTCTTCATATCAATCACATCAGCCTTTCTCTCCAGTGTGACTATATCAAAACCTTGCCCCACCAGGTTGCGTCCTGGTACAAAAGGAACAACATGACAGTCTCCTTGGGTCCCGATCCAACAGGACTGAACAGAGGAGTGAACAAGGAGGACGCTTTGGAGAAGAAGAGCTGAAGTTGAATCGGGGAGCATCGCTGTAGTCAGAAGCAAAAAGATAGAGAAAAAATGAATTAAACTGTTTTTTTACATAGTGCATGGCATTTTTCTTATTTGTATGACTTATTTATATAACATCATCTAAGAAAGTTAGCTAACACTTTATTTGAAGTGGTTTGCATAAGACTGACATGACACAACACCTGTTACCTGATATTAACCAATTAATTATCAAAATTCAGTAATATAATAAAACACAAAGATACATAACATTTTAAATTTTGATAATTAACAACTATTATGACATGTTTATGAAAGTTGATGATTCTTGTCCATCCATGTTGTGATTATTACATACCCATGCACTAAATACATTTAAATATGTATTGAAACAGTTACGCATTTAAATCATACATGCATTTCAACTTTTATGTACATTTTTTTATGTTGTGTATCTCTGTTAAGTTATTTTTTTTATTTTTGCATGTGTTAGTGCAAGCAAATATCACATTTTTGAGTGAGAGCGTATTTGTTCATGGGAGCAGCAGTTAATGATGGTGAAACATTAGTAAAAAGTTCTAGATAACACAAAAAGTTTAAGCCAGTAGATATTTGTGGAAAGAAAAACAAACATTGAAGCTCATTCATTAATCTGATTTAATTCCCATTTTCTCATTCAATATATTCCTTTTGTCTTATCAGTAGTTCGGTTACATGCCAGTAGAAATAAGTTATTCACAGAATAATTCAGCTGTAAAGTTGGGCTATTTAGTTAATAAATTTTCAGACTCGATTAGAAATAAGCATGTCGGTGATCATTCCTGTGTGTAAAGTTTCTTCATTCCCTCATTAGAATCTGAGCTTGGCTTCATTAATTAATAATAAATTATGGATTACAATTTGTAATTAATAAATAAGAAAAA